AGGGAGCCCGATGTGGGACTCGATCCCAGGACCCTGGGATCATGACCTGAGCCGAAGGCAGACGCTTAACGACTGAGCCACCCAGGCGCCCAAATGCTGTAACTTTTATCACAGAAAAAGATTCATGTTTCAACAATCACAGTAAAGGTATGCAACCGCAAGAACCTTTATCTATCTAAAAAGAAAACAAAATTTCTTTTTTAAAACCATAAAATGCTGACCTAAATGTCAACTGAGGAATTCAATAAAGCAAATGAAATCTGGAAGTCAAATGACAAATTTTTTGCAATGTATATCATCCTTCTCACTTGATGATATCAGGTGTCAAAGCAATGTCATGAGAATTAGTTAAAAATATAAAAATGTTTTTCAAAGTACTTTGATTCAAAACTAACTGTTCAGGGTAAATTAGCTGTCAAAATGAGTTGAAACTTTTAAGAGAATGAGCTGGTTACTTATTATATATATCAATAAACAATTTCCAGACTAACATGATAAAAATTCAGTAAATGTGAGGAATAATCTGTGAACTAGTTGTTTTATAAAATCAGACTGTTACTAATACCTCACCCATATTATTCTCTAATCGAACCTCAACATTTTCTGGAGAAAGAAATATATATGAACCACTAATGTCAACCTATAGCATAGCACCAGCAGAGACTCCTTATTAAAACAGTATCAGTACTATTCCTAAGGCAACATCACCAAAGGAAACAAACAACTTAGAGCAAATGTCACAGGTGCAATGTGAAGAAACAGTCTATATATAGTACTAGTTGTCATTCAGACTGAAACACCATTCCTTCCTTTATCCCATTAAAGTACTGGCTTGCAAGCATTTGACATCCAGCCAGAGAAAGAGTAACTTATGTCATCTTTTTAAATAATTAGACATAAAGTCCAATGTGTTCATAAAATAGGTCTGAACTGCAAGTCCTCCTTCTTCTAGAACAGCAGTTTTCTGAACATTAGGTTCACTTTCCAGAAGTTAGAACAAGCTGTTACTTGACTAGCTAATTATGGCTAGTAGTCAGAAAAGATCATCACAGGCTCCTTCACTGTTCTAGGACCTCAGTCTATAGATTCTGTTTGCACAACAGACCTTGCATCAATATAATGAAGTCATTAACCTCTGTACTCTTTTAAGATGCATAAATTTCAAATCACAGTCATTAAAGCAATATTTATAATAAAAAGTATCAAAAATGTACCCTTACATTTATTAACTGTGGAAAGTTCAAATAACTGAACAATTAAACAGGCATTAAGATGCATAAAGTGTAAGCCTTTTAGAGTTTTAAATATTACAGGGCAACATATATATGTACACATATTCTTTAACTGAAATAAACAAGATATTAAATTGTTTATTAAGTATGCTCTTAAGTATGTGGAATGCATACATGTAAGACTAGATAGGAAACCACTAGAATATTACAGAATGATTTCTTGGATAGGAGATTATAAATGATTTTTTCCTTCTCTTTATCTTTGCTAATTTATATATTAATTATTATTACTTTTTACATTAAAATTACCATATAATTTTAAAAATGTAACAATGTTTAAATATCATTTGCCTGTACCTTCTTCCAGGTTCAGAAATACAGTTAGAGTCTCCAAAAAGAGACCAAAATGAAGGTCCTGTATTTGAATAAGAGTGTTGTTATTCAATTCGCCATTCCTCTGGGAAACAGAATTCCTAGAACTACAGGAGCTGGTTCATAGGGACACTCCAGGCTTCCTGGGCACAACTCTAGGAGGTACAACCACCCACCATCCTCTCCTGCCAGTTTCCTGAGCCATAAAATGAAGATGATAAGTATACTTACCTCAAAGGGTAGTTGCAATATTAAATGATTTCATATATAGAGATATGCTAAATACATATGTGTGTGCATATATATATATGCAAATAAAATGCACATATATTTAGCATATAAAATGGTGACCTGGTAAATAGAAAGCACTATCAAAGCCTTAGCTATTTTTCTATCCTCATTTTATTACTACTACGACGACTACGACTTCTCTTACTACTACTACCACCACCAACGCTAACACCATTACTCTAACTATTGCTACTATAAGAACAACAGACAAACAAGCAATAGAGCCCCTCTCCCTCATGGGGCCATTTTCCAAAGAGAATAATGCCTGCCAATCTGATCTCGGAGAAGGAGAAGGGCAAAAGAGGCATGGGAATTGCACCGGAGCTTGTTCTTCAGTAGATGCCCTGTGCCCCTGGCACTCTTTCTCTACATTCTGGCCTCCAGAGGCCATCCCGGTGCCTTCTAGTAGCACACCCAGGGCTGTATAAATTACCTCTCCCTGTCTCATTGACTGACATTTTATAAAAGTTTGTTCATATCTTTAAAATAGATTCTTAACATCTCTCTGACCCATTCAGAATTACTCAAGAATATACCTTAATATTTTTGTGAGAGAGTTAGGTTACAGAAAGGTGGGAGTCATTATGCTTTAATAAGTTTTGTCAATTTAAATATTTATTTAGTAAATTTAAATAAAGATATTTATCCTTTTTTTTTTTTTTTTTTTTTTTTTTTTTAAGAGAGAGAGTGTGTGTGCATGGGCACAAAAGGCGGAGGGGAGGTGGCAGGGGAGAGGCAGAGAGAGAATCCCAAGCAGGCTCCACACTGAGTGGGGTTCCATCCCACAACCCTGATCATGACCTGAGCCAATATCGAGAGTCAGAGGCTTAACCGACTGAGCCACCCAGGCGCCCCTTAATCAGTTAAAATTTTAAACACTTTAGTCAAAATAAAAATATTTAATTGTAAACAATAAACAACTGGGGCAAAAAAATAACTAGTAAAAGTTAGTGGCTGAGTTCCCTCTGCTGAGTCAGGGAACTTAAACATAGGCGGCCACATGTGTAACAGGTAAGTCCTAACCCTCTTTGGTCATAGCTGATTGAAACTAACTACACATCTGCCCCAAGCCCAGCCAATCAGATTGTAGCCTGAAGAATCCAAAGAAAAGATATGGGCACTATAGTCAAATGACAACATCATTAGGGACATAAGGTCATAAATCAACAGTCAGCACATACAAACCAAAATCAGAGGAAGAAAGGCATTAATAGCTTTAGAAAGCAGAAGCCAGTCGACCGACAAATGCAAGGATGGGAGACCATATGGTCCTGAGAAGCAGAGAAGTCAACGACAGTCCCTGGCTTTCTATTTCCAGTCCCATGTGGTCTCAACGAACTTTCTTTGCTTCTCTTTAGATGTTTATGAGACTGCCTGTTACAGAGGAAGAGATGAACAAATGTGCCCTAAACTAGCCTGAAATGTATATTCCTATAACAAATGTACATGTCACCAGCCATCTTTTTGTTCTTTTCCTTGATTAAAGAGATTGGAATAGTGTTTAAACATCAAATAGTCCTTTCTTAAAAACCCACGCCCCAAGACACTACCCTGCTTTGTGTCAGCAGAAGAGGAAACAGGAAAAGAACAATTCTGCAAAAGAACTCAATTCTGCAAAAGGATTTTAAGCTTCATGGATAATCTATTACAGAATATCTATACAATACCTGCTTCTTGGAAGAAACATGGATTCCTTAATGAACACGGAACCAGAGAGAAGTATATACCAGCAGGTCCCAATATCATCAGGACTGGAAAAAAAGATAATAAAATCAGATGATTATCTAAGACAACAACAACAAAATCAAAACACACACAGCACAAAGTATAGTACCCATGTTCCTTTTAGAACCATGAAGAATGATGAAATAGCATAAAACAAGTACATAAATATACCATTTCATTTTTTAAATTATCTTTTATCCCAAAAATAAGTTAAAGATATTAATCAGTATATTTAAATGTTTTAAATGTTCCTTAGACCTATTGCACCTACCATCCCAAGGTTTAGCTTTTAATTTTTTTGACTGAAAATACTTCCCCTGCTTCATAAAACAAAATATAAAGAGGTGAACAGTGAAACTCAGTCTTCCCAACCTTTTCCCTGGTCTACCAAGCTCCCACATTTTTCTACCACACTTGTTGGATAGTCTTTCAGAATTTCTTTATGTGCATGCACAGAAAAATAGACATATATTCTTACTCCCTCTACTGCCTTTTTTTTCTCTTTATGGAAAGATAGCATACTCTATAGTGTTCTTTCCTTTGTGCTCTTAGAGATCTTTTTATAAGAATACAGCTTTCTTGTGGATGTGCCATATCTGCTTTAAGTAACCCCAGTGACAGTCATTTCTGTTGTTTTTAATCATTTGCAATTATTTAAAAATAATAAATAAAAAGTGCAATGAGTAACCTTGTGCATACATTATTGACTTTAACCGGTAACCAGAAGTGCGACTGTTGGGTCAAAGGGCATGGACACTGTAATTCTGATAAATGTCAAATTGTCCTCCGCAGGTGCTCAACAACTTATTTGCCTGTATACTTTCACACAGCTTTACTAATATATAATATAGTTCGTTATATTAGTTTAACAAATGTTTCACAATTTTATGAGGAGGGCTATTCTAGGTGCTTAGGATACTTCGGGGAACACCACCACCACCACCAAGTCTCTTCCCTTATGGAGCTTATAATCTGGTGGGACAACACAGATAACAAACAAGAAAAATAATAAATTGGTAAATTACAAATCAGTGCTCCGGGGAAAGAAATTACTATAGGTTAAGGAAAATAGGGGGCAGGGTGTTATAGTTTCAAATGGCTGGGGAAGACGAGTCTCGCTGAGAAGAGCACATTTGAGCAAAGGAGCTGACAGCCAACTGGGTTCCTAGGGAACCCGCATTCCAGGCAAAGGGCGGGGAGGATCCAGTGTTTGTGCAAAGGCTGACATGGCCTAGCAAGGGGGAAGAGTATGGTGTGGCTGAGGCAGAGTAGGTGAGGGGTAAGCCGCTGGGGGGCATAAGGAATTCTACCACTAAGGCTTTTTATCAATCTTTTAGGTTTTCGCCAATCTGCTTGATGAAAATGAGATCTTAGTATATCTTTTTCATTTCTTTTTCTTATTATTATTACAAGAGCATCTTTTTTCTTATTTCCATGAGTCATATCTTTTTCTGTGAAATCAGTTTACTACTTTTAATCAATGTTCTATTAAGTTGTGGGACTTTTTCTAATCTAGAAGCACTTTATAAAAATTAACCTTTTTAAAATGCGTGCTGTGAATACCTTTTTCCTCAGTTTGTTGCTTTATCCTTTGTGCTTTTTGCCATGTAAGTTATTTTATTTTATCCAGTCAAGTTCACCAAATTTATTTGTTAAAATACAGGCTCAGCTACTATTAAAACAAAACAAAAAGCTAAACATAGTAATGGCTTAACCAAGAGGGAGTTCATTTCTCTCACACACACATAATAACAGCCTTAACAACAAAGGCCCAAGGCTGACAGGATGGTTCCATGGTATCGAGAACTCAGGCTCTTCCTATTTTGTGGCTTAGTCATCCCCAACCCACAACAATTATGTCATAGTCTCAGGTGGCAGCTTCATATCTCACCACTGTATTCACATTCTAGCCAGTGGATGCGGTGGAAGGAGTACAGAGCCTACCCCACTGCTGTTAAGAGTACAAGGAAGCTGCATACTACACTTGTCTCACATCACAATGAATCACGTGTGTGTTCCAAGGGAGTCTTCATCAATCCCCCCCACCTCCGCTCAAGTTCTCTCCTTTTCGGGGAATGAGCAGGAGGTGTAAATAGATTCCAAAAGTTTTTAAAGGACAATAAATTCTATTTATGATTCTGAATAGTTATTTAAAACACCAATCACTATCACGTAATCATTTTCATTTTGCTATTTGCTTCTAAACAAATCAGCAGTTGACCATTGTTTCCTCCCAAGTCCAGTCTTAACTAATATCACAACTACTAAGTCCTCGATGGCAAGGCCTCATGAAAATGTAAAGGAACAATACTGACAAATAGAGTTTAGCTCCAAGGAAACCATAAAAGTTAAATGATTTCTCAAATGAAAATGTACAGTACTTCAGAAATATTTCATATCCTTTTCTCTCCAGATTTTAATCATTAGCTTTTGCAATCTACATTTACCTAATTTTGAGGGAAAAACTTTGTCTTTCTTAGCATAAGGTGACAGAATTATTATTAAATTCTAATTTATGTCAAGTGAAAGTGTGTTCTCCCAAATGCAAGCATAGCTTAAAATTTTTTTTAATAACAAATAATAAAACACTGAAATAAAAAGAAAAAAAAGAATTATTATGTAAACTTAATCTGCTCTTACAATGCTCCCTTTATCACCAAAAGGCTGGTCAAGAGAAATGAAATCTAGAAAAACAGGAAGTTAAGGTAGATCACTGCTTATTAATTATGTGGCCTTGGGCAAGTTATTAGAGCGAATGCCAGGATTAAATGAACAATGCTCATTAAATGCAAATAATAATTATTGTAGAGCTTTTTATCATGTACCATGATCTAGATTAACTGTGACATAGAGAATATAACAAACATTCGTTGGCTTTCTAGTTATTCTGTATCTGTCCATTTTGAAGGCAAATTATTATGGATAAAATAAGTGCAAGGTTTGTAAACTTGGCTTTCCTGGCACTGATCATAAAGCACACATGAAATGAAAGGCAACAATGTCCAAAGTGGATAAAGGACTATAACAGCAAATATTCTGGCTCCCTGAATGCCCATTCATTACCCTATAATTAGGGTTGGTTCTTCTAGAAAAAACCGAAGGAGATAAAGATAAGAAACTTGTCCACCCAACCTTTTCCACTTACTATAATTTTGTTTTCCTAATAGATAGGCTGTTTCCTCTAACTTTTCCAAAAAATTCAAAGGTTAACTCACGAGAGCTATATTTGCTTGAGTAGGAATTGGGAGAGGATGATCATTCGATTAACAAACATTTATTGAACTTGGTAAGCATTTACACTACATGCCATGCCAAATACAATCACTCCAATTTCTTTATTATTGAGTTGTCCCTTTTTTACAGATGCAGGTTTTATAAAAGTAAGCTCATTAGAACTAAGAAAACAAAAACAGTGAATCTTATTTTATCGTGTTCTGGAAATAGCTGTAAGCTAGAAAATCCCTCCCATCTCCTTCTCTTCCCATCCATCCCCCCACAGAACTCATGGGGGTTTGTGTTCCAAAAATTCCTTGCTGTGAGATGCCACCATAAAATCTGTTTTACTCAGTCTTAATCATCCAGAAAATTCTCCTGACTTTGTTAGAAATCATCTACAATTATGCCTCAGGCAGGCAGTGTTTCAGTATGGGGTACATCCTGCTTCCCTTCAAAGTCTGCAAATACTCCTTTCACACAGTGCAGCTGTCGTTACCCAAGAGGTTTTAGACCGTTTTTGCACATACAAAGTGATGATGTTTTTTCAAAAGAAAAAATGAGTAAGTCCTAAGAACAGTACTTAGCAGAAACAGCATTAAACTTTTCTACACTTAAAGGGTAAGCAAATTGAATCCAGGACATCGCTTACAGACACACTGGCAACGAAGTTAGCTAACAGAAGATTGACTATAACAATAATAGTTATCTGGGACTAACGCTGGGATTTTTTTTAGTCCAGTGGTTCTCAGGCTTTCATATGCATATGAATCACCTGGGATATTAATGAAGAATGCATGCTCCCAGGCTCTGCCTATTCCACCCGATCCCACAGTCCGTGATCGTTAGGTGGGAGATCCATCACAGTGACTTTCAAACAAATATCCCAGGTGATTCTTATGCCTGGGGCTTGTCAACTTTGAAAAACCTTTAGAAAAGCTGTCTCAATATTAAGCCCCAACAACAACAAATGGCAAGAAAAAAAAGTACAACTCTTATCAATATCTGTGCCAATACGTTGCAGGTGTTGTATTCACCAGTGTTATTTTAATTTTTTCCTCAAATAATTGTTTTATGCTTTAAAAATATGAGCTAAAGGCCAAAATTATGAGCTAAGGGGAAAAGCTGAATCTTAGAATAAACCTGATTGAACATCTCCAAATAACCTAAGTCTTAACACCACCAGCAATGGGTAGAAGAGAGAAACCTAAAGATTAAAGAGGGACATATAGCAAAGTAGTACATTGCAAGTCTCTCTGATTAGCCAAAATGGACACTTAGAAAAGACCTATAAATTTTTAGACTGAACTAACAACTACAACAGACAACTGATTTGATGCCAATACAGCCCATTCTGCAATCTGCAAAATGAAAGCCACAAAAGCCTAGATGTATAAGATACCCTGAAAGCCTATTTTTTTTATTTCATCAACAGGGAGAAAATGAATAAACCCAAACAAAACAAAACAAAAACAAAATATAAACAGACCATTACAAAATGATCACTTCACTCCCAGTATAATTAGATAGAAGGACTCTGAAGTAATCAGAAATGAATGATGCCCTTTAAGAACCAAGGCTAAACCGAAATGGCAAGTGCAGACCTGGAATAATGGGGAAGAGGCAAACATGGAATCTGGTGCCATTCTTTCCCAACCTTATTTCCTTCTACTCCTCATCATAAACCCACCACTGCTGACGGGCTGCTTTCCTGTCTTTCTTTCCCACCTGTCAATCTGTCCAAGATGTTTGCCTTTCTCCATCTTCTCAATCATATCGTACCTGAAAGAAATGGTTCAAACCCTATTTCTTTAACA